CCTTCCGTTGTACACGCTTCAGGGCCGTAGAATCGCACACCAGGCGGAGTGAGCAATTTTACTCCCGTATTCCATCAAGGGTCGGACGTACGTGTTATAAAGTATCTGAAAGTCATCTCTATCTATTCTGAGAAATGAACGTTTTAGGAAGTTAAAAACACGGAAGGCGGATCTACTGGCTTTTTTGGTCCCATCGAACTAAAGGGATTCAGGGATTTGAGGAGTGATTCGGTCTCCCCTGGAAGAATGATGAAATATTCTAATGGAGGTGGTGCAATAATAGAGGGGAGATTAGGGTGGGAAGAGACAGGAGGAAAATTAAAGGCGGATTCATATTGAGACCGAAAGATCTCCGCTACTCAAGCAGAGGAGGTTACAGGAGAGCCATCAGGTAGCTTGAGGGCTAGTGAAGAGGGGGTTGATTGCCTTTTACGGCGGACTGACTCAAATAAAAAATTAGGGTTAGTTCTAGCACGAAGAAGAATTGCTCTATGTTGTCCATTGTGGAATTCCCTAACTCTATGCTTACATAAGTTGAGGATTCACTTGAACTCGATAGTATCAGCATCGAGTCCAGTACATTTGTCTAGCAAATGAACGCGCCCGCTCGTCCATTAGGTGCCGAACGGAGCGGGGTAGGAGGGTGCCTATGGTCAGATACAGATTAAACTCTAGGAATAAACAGGTGGTCCGCATTGTGAATTAGACTCTGAAGCAACTCACTTAGGCTGTTCGGGTCAGTATCATTATTGCAGGAGCCCAGCTTGTTGGCCATGACTTCTCGTAAGAGAACAAAATCGTCCCTTTTGAAGAAACGTAGCATTCTGGAAGAGGGCCTGCAAGATGGCCAGCGGATAATATAGTCAAAGGAAAGCAGGAGGTGATCAATTTTACCGACAGGACTTAGATACGCGATCAAGTCGATTTGGCGGCGTTCGTTGGTAATCGAAAGATCAAGCGAAGAGGGACGTTGGCCGACACGGCATCTCGTGAGAGAATTTTAGTTTTAGTACCACGAGTTTTCATTGAAGAGGTTTATACGGGGTGCACCAAACATTCTATCTCTGTAGCGGCATCTGGGCCAGTTGACACTCGGGGCGTGGAAGTCACCCAGGATAAGGTGTGAGAAAGTGTAGGTGGGACGGAGGTCTCGAGGCTAAGTGAGAAACGATTGGCATTTCTCCTGTGTGCTTGATGGGGAGTGATTACCAACCCATAGGAGGAGTGAATCTCTGCTCGTGAAGGCGGTGTTGACCCTTAGGGTCTCGATCGATTGNAGGAAGGGAAACACGCAAAGCAGGTGGGAGGGAATCAAGAAAGAAAAGAGCCACTCCATCCGCATGTCCACGGTTTGAGACCTATCTGAATAAGTTGAAGCCATCTCTCATTATTTCACCATCTAGCATCTATGGAATCAGCCACGTCTCAGTTAGACCAATAACGCGTGGCTTCTTATCGAGCGCCAATTGTCGAAGTTCATGGACGTTATTAATTATACTTGTTAGGACGGAGCGCACAAAATCCGTCCTGCCACGCAGCGACGCGCGTC